CCCATGAAGAGACATGCAAACGATGGTGCCATTTTGCTACCCATGCTAACTCCAGACATTTGGCGATAATATTTATGGTTAAAGGCAAATGCTGTAGTACACAAGACCAGTTCTGAAAGTCGAATTATAGTGTCCACTGAGCATATACGGGGTTTGTTACTGTCTTTCTCCAAAAAATATCTAAGTGCGACTAAACCATCGTTGATAGGTATAGATGTATATAAAGATTTAACGTCCATAGTAAATATATATCCTCCAGCGTTTTTAAATTCGAAGTTTTCAAACATTTTAACGGCTTCATTAGTGTCCTTAATATATGTAGGTAATTTCTGAACAATAGGTTGCAAAACACTGTCCACGAATTCGCTAATGACAACAGTAGGACTATTACACGCCGACACAATAGGTCTTCCAGGGTTATCAGGTTTATGAATCTTAGGTAACATATACCAATTTGGACAGGTAGCATCGGTGTTGATTAAACTGTTAGCTGTAGCGTGAGGTTGATTATTCCTAATTAAAGATTTGATAGTCTGTTTTACAGTTGCTATATCACTAGAAGTCGGATCATCTGGAAGTGGTTGATAAGTAGCTTGATTAGATAATTGACGTTATCCCTCTGAAATATACAAATCTCTTCTCCAAACAACTGTAGCTCCACCTTTATCTGCTCGCTTAATAACATAATAGTGATTATTTCTCAAAGTTCGTAGCGCCAACAACTCTCTAGTAGACATATTACGTGATTTGATCCGATGTTTCATATTAAATTTTCCAATATCATGTCTGCATTTCTGGATATACAAATCCAAAGAATTAAATTTACCAGGAGCAGGAGTCCAATTAGATTTTTTTCGATTGAGTTGTTGGAATTCATCCTTGTTGAGTGTTGTAGAACTTTTATCATGAAACTCTGCTTTAAGTCTTAGGCGTCTATAATATTGTTCCAGATCAGATTTGACATTAAATTCATCAATACATTTCTGTTGAGGTATGAATGACAGGCCTTTAGATAAAACTGACCTCTCATCATCCGTTAGAAGTAAATCTTCGGGAATGGTAACCACAAGTTTGGATGTGTCAACATTTCTCTGAGTAGATGCAGTCATATTCACTGGGCGATCTCTTTTCAGTGAATCCAATTTCTTCTGTTTTTCTAACAAAAGACAGTCATAATACCATAGGTTTAACTCATGGACAATACCACGTATGTGATACGCCTTCCAGGCGTAGCTGTTTGTATTGTCTTACTATGTTCATTGTTTCACTATGCCGCCAGTACCGCCGTTT